AAGGAATCTGAACCAGGCCAATCCGTTGGTCTTCTTTCATTTTCCAAATGAACAGTAGCGCTCACTTGGATTAGGTTTCAACTTTCAATAGATGGTGTATTAAGGTTCCGTTTGGTTGCATGCAAAATTAAGGAAAGCAAACCAAGTTTCCTGAAAATTACTTTTTTTTTTCAAATGAACAGTAGGCCGCACTTAGGTTCATCCCTTAGCTTTTAGCTTTATGTATTTGGCTGTTCATGTTTCACTCACATAAACTAATAAAGTGGCAATACAGTTTGCAGCAATAAAATTTAATGGGTTGAATGCCTCTTGGAATGAAATGTGGGCCGAAAGGATCAATTTTCATGCTTAAAGCATATGAAGAGAGGTTTGTTATGCCGATTATTATAAAATTTAGTCGGGTTAAGACGCATCTTGAAAAGATATGAGCCAAAACGATCACGATTTGGGCTTAAAATAGAGCAAATAGTTGCTGCATTGATGCATTTTGGAATTTCAGTCAGACCCAAAAAGGAGTTGATAACATAATATTTGTTACCAAACAATCTGAAAAATACCCAGTAGGCCCATCTTTGGAATTCCTCTATTTTTCAAATGAATAGTTGGATTCTCAAACCAGAGAGAGAGAGAGAGCTTATGTTATGTGTTTACTTATATATTTCTTTCATTCAAACAGGCAAATCTAAATAGAAGAGATATGATCCACCAATCAACAAAGAGAACTTAGTTAGTTGAGTGCCTCTTGGATGGGACTATGGGTCAAAAAAAGGTAGCTGGTTAACCTAAAAGTTCATACTTTATAGTGGTGAGTTATATCAACCACACATAATTGATATCACGCCAATCAGCCCTAATTGTCTGGTTGATTTCTTTTTGGAAAGTCCATGGAAAGTGAGCAAAACTCCACAAAAAGATGTTTAGGATCTTTAAGTTAAAGAATGGTTCAAGCCAAGCTCACTGTCTCCTTATGCTTGAAGCAGAGACTTGTGAAGACTTTTCCTTAATAAAATGCTTAGGAGTAGGCTGACAGAAATGCAAGTTATGAGAAGTGGTTGGTGTAGGGGAAAGCAGATCCTCATTGATAATCTGATTGGATTAGTTTTAACTCTGGATCTCTTTGTCAGGAATTTCATCAGGTGATGATGGATCCAAAACCACTTGTAGTTGTAAATGATTTGATTTATTCAAATATAAACATGGGTTGAGACTTTTCTTGCTTTGTTCAGGAACACAGACATACACTCATGTGGTCTTCAATCCAGATCAGTTTTGCAATGAGCAATATAAGGAATCTTACATTCTATTATGGGCATTATAATAGGACATGTTGTATATTTCTCCAAAGACCGACATACTTTTTTAATTCCAGAACATGGAAGCCCACTTTTAGTGTGAGCCTTTTCACTGTAAACTTTACCTTTTGTGGAATATATACAAAGGAATTCTTCTGATCAACCTTCTATGGTTAAGCTACTCCAAGAATACCCCTGTTCCCTATTCCATAGACCAACTTAATGCTTTCATATGATGGGAAACACTGTCAGTTGTTTACTAGTGTGGAAACCAATTTCAGCCTTCAAACATGAAGACAATATTACTGTAATTGAGATAGTTTATCAACACAATTCTAGTGAATCCAAGGTTCTAACCAGGTACCAAAAAAATATGCTAGCTAGGCGCGCTGCCTAATTTGGCGATCTGCAAGCGATGACTAGTGTGCACTGTGCGGTGTGAAATATTTTCGACGATTCGAATCAAGCATAATGCAGATTTAACTTTTGTTTATGAAGTGAAAAAAGATAGTTAGGAATCAGTCATTGTCATGCATCAAATTCTTTAGTAGTAGCCTAGTAAAAGTACTTCAGTGCTAACTGACTAAAACCTTTTGATCAAGATAGAATCTAAAAAAGAACTGAAACAAAGAAAATTTCTTTTGACTAAGATCTTGGGATCAAGATGTACCTAAAAGAGAACAGAAATACAGATAAGTTTATCTTTGTTTTTACTGAAGCAAACGAGTTCCTTTTGAAAACAAACCAATCCCCAAATCCACCTTCCAACCAAAAGAGGAAAGAGATTATATTATATTCCATATATGGTCATTTCTATTAATCAAGCCTAGACTTTATAGGAAATGACATTGTGATTATGAGCCAATAACTACCAAGTTATAATTCAAAACTTGAAACTATTATATGACCAAATCAAGTTATGTTTCTTCTGAAGTGGCTGAAAACAATTGGACCATATAGAACAAACTAGAGCATTAACCAGGTAAAAATAATCAGAAGTGATCATAACTGTAGTGCTTGATTATTGAACAGTATATGACATTAGGAGACTAACAATGTGAAAACTGAACATGCAATAGGTTTGAACTTGTCTCATAACATGCTATAGCATACCCTGATCTATTAGAGGGCACCCTAATCAAGTATACTACTGCAAAATGTAAACTGGAAGCAGACAAATAGAGCTTGCAATATAACCCATCAATTGAATATCAGTCTGGTATGTAACTCATTAAGAAATGGGTTCACCTATGATGCTGGAAAGACATGACACAGGAAAAACTTATAAACAATCAACTGGCATCATAAAAGTGGTAACCAATCAAGTGGGTTTTCATCAAAATTCACCCGGGGGTGATTGGTCAAAGCCTTTTCCAGTATCATGTCTTTCCGGCATCATAGAATTTTCCTTAATTAATTTACTGATTATCAACATTATGTTTAACCAAGAAACCTTTTTCAAATCACTCACTTCTGCAATAACTGGACTAAGGCCCCATTTGGTTTGTGGGAATAAGAGTATGGAACTGGAATCGGAATGGACTATTCTGGTTCCAACTGTTTGGTTGAGAAGAATCGTAATCCCATTCCCATTCCTGCTGGAATGACATTCCCCCATTTGAGGGAATGGCCATTCCTTGTCCCTCCCTTGAGAACGAAATCTCATTCCTTTTGATTCTAATTCCCATTCCCATTTTTGTCTGAACCAAACATATTATGGGAATAGGCCATTCCAATTCCAATTCTGAAGGATTTTGATTTCGATTCCAATTCTGATTCTAGTTACGAATCCCATTTTTGTCTAAATTGTTTGCTTTGCTAATGTGCCAACTCCCACAATCCCACCTCCATCTCATGTCCAATTAGTTCCATTTTCTTATGAAGCATCTAACCAACCGATTTAAGAAAAATACATACAAAGTTTTCTACATTTTTGAATTTTATAAAAGAACAAAAACAAAAGCTTAAAGGTGATATGATTTGAAACAATTAGGCACCACATAGGGTTTCGTTTCAAACACATCCATAACCTTACCTATATCTCACTCATAAAATCTCTCCCTCAATCTCCACCACGTCTCATTCAAAATTTAGGAAACTATTCATACACTTCAATCCAGACTATACCTTTCTCTAATTCCTAAAGTATCTCTCCCAATTTCCTCCATTTCTTATATGGAATTTTGGAAACTACTCACATGGTTCAGTGTCAAACTCTTGTTTACAACTATTAATTAATCATTCAAACAAAACTCCAGACTTGATTTGATCATCATTATTCATCCCTAATTGAAAACCTTTTTAATAGAAACTTGATGATTTCCTTAAATGGGTTCCCATGGATTTCACTCCAACTACATAATTTTTTTTTCATTTTTCTTTAACAAAAATTTGTTGAGAAAGGGGTGAAGTAATTAAATCAATGTTGTCAAATCACATTGCAACAGATTGAAAATCGTGTGTTTGGCAAGTAGGTGTAGAATCAATGTGTCGGAAGATAAATTTAATGAACTGTTTTACATTTTAATCATTTAACTGTTTTGACCTCTCATTTGTCCATGACAATTGAGCATAGAAGTAAATAATAGTGCTGCCATAAAGAAGCAGAAGACAAATTAGAATGTGATAAACCATATTCTACACAATTAATTGTGCTTAAAATCATGAGTAAAGACTTAAGGAGGTGTTTGGTGCAATGGTGTTGTATTGCCTAGTATTGTCACATCATATCAGAGTATTGCTATTTCAACCAAAAAAAACAGTGCATGTGTGTATATAAACATCAAATTTGATGTTTTATGTAGAAATAACAATTTATATTAATCAAATGGAAGCATATTCAAAAGTTAACGAAAAAAAACTTACAAATTTGTATAAATATGTACAGTGTAAAAACTTTATATTTTGTATTAAGTTAAGAGGTATCTTGGTATTGATGAACTTTTCTTTCTTCTGAATTTTGAATGCAGAGAATTCTCATTTTGAATTCTGAATTCTGAATTTTGAAAGCTATCAAATATCCATTTTGACCCCATATTTGAGAGTTTTTATTTGTCTTTTTGGAGATATCACTGGAAAACAAAAAGTTGAATGGTTGCAATTTAAAAGATAAGAGATAAGAGGAAATGAACAATCAATTTTCTCTAAGTTAAAAGATTTCTCTTAAGAGATAAGAGTTAAGGCTGAATTTGGAAGAAATACAAATACAAATATGTAGAGTGCAATATATTTTTGTTGTATATATTTGCATTTGTACTGCTTCCAAATGAGCATAAAGAGAAAAAAATTATCCAACAAAAAGTTGTATGAGTCCAGGAATGGAATCTTTTTCCATTTGGGGCTCAAAGGAACAAAAAAGAAAAACTTAGATGGATCAGCATAAATAAAGTGCATTTCATTATGCAATTATGCTCCGAAAATGAACCAAGAGAAAACAAAAAACGTTACAGAGCGAAGTCACTTACAAATTTCTAAGGCTATTTAGGTAAATTTCCAAAAGAGTGGTCAAAGAATATAAATTTTGTTTGTCTACCGTCGGATTGGAATCTGATATTTGTTATGTTCACGGTTGTTACTATATTCATTTCTATCAGAAAACTAAAGATTCCATTTCAACTGTACAAGGAATATTTTCCATCTTTTCTTTATTTTGTTATTTTTAACCGGGAAACGCTCATACTGGTATATTCTGTCTTCCACTCTATATTTTGCGGTCTCTGTTTGGATGTGAATTGTGAAAGCATTCAAAGTTTCAAACTGCTGCCGTATGTGGTCACTAAAGAAGGAAAAACAGAAGAGAAGTCAATACTTGAGCAGAGGGGCCTCTCTGCAATCTCTGCCATGGTTGGGTGGTTTGAAAATGGAGTGATGGACGGAATTTGGGGAGGGTCTCGGCCTCTCTGTATTCATTAAATTTTCCCTTTTCTTGGGTCACCTTCATCTTTACAAGCTTCTCTGGCGAAGAAATAAGGAAGTAAAAAAAGAACGACAAAAATCATTGGTTTTAGCTCCGACTCTAGCTCTCTTCGATGAGTTAATTCTCTTGCTGCGAATCCAAGCTGCTTTCTTGGTCAACTGCACTGAGATTGGATTTGTTATCATTAGCACAGGTACACTTTTTTTATTAATTAATTTTTGAAACCTTGGTCGTTTTTTCGTTTGTTAATGTTTTCTATATTCGTTTTAGTTTAGTTATCTGGTGATACCAAGAAGGAATTTGGTTGTAGTCGTCTCATGTTTTGGTAGACTTGATGATATCGATTTCTCACTTCTCTCCCCGCCTTTCTATTTTGCAACTTCAAATGAAATAATACCGAGATATAAGTTTTTTTTTCCGCAAAAGTTTTCTTTAGGGTGGATTGAATTTGAAATTCTTCAAGGCACATTTTAGCATTAAGCTTACGTGATTTGTTTGTTGCCAAGTAATACAAATAAAAGAAGTAGTTGATTACTATATTTTCTGTAGGGAAAGAAGAAAAGCGGGGATGGTTTTTGAATTTCTTGAAGTTTTGTGTAATGTCTATTTCCATTGTTCTGACAAGGATGAAACTTGGAAGTTCAAGTAATTTTATTCATTCCAACGACACTACATGGAAAAATATTGAACAGTTTAAGTTAGATATTAGGTCTTTGGATACATAGAATTAAATCTTTTTTTTTTGTGAAAAATAAAGGAACTTGATTTAAAATTTGGCAAGTTAGATATTATGTTTTTGGATTAAAAATAAATAAATTTTTTGAAAAAAAGGAAGTTGATATTAAATCATCTCTCTGGGTTTAAAGGGTTCCATTTTTCTCTCTTCTAATATATGGTTAACATTCTTTATATTTTTTCTTTCTTTTCTATCCCCCTAAATTATGTTCTTAGATGCTACTCTCTCTTGATGCACCAAGGAACCATGCACATAGAAGGCCAAAAGCAATTCAGTATTCCTGCATTATCTTTTTTTTTTATAGCTTCCTGCATTCTCAAATTAGTATGCTTGTCTGTCTCTCTTATAAGGGTATTTTTAACAAGCTATTTTTTACAGGTTTTGCAGCAGAGTTGAATGAACCCAGAAACTCTTTCAATTCTTAGCAAGTTGAGGTGGTTTCTCATATAGAGCTCATTGAGACAATTCATCCAATATAAGCCAACACTTACATGTATTTACTTGCAAAATGTCTTGGTTAGTTGGCTGTAGTGTGGCTTGAGTGGTTTCTCTTTTTTCTCACTTTGATGGATAGAAGTAGAATCTGGAATCAGTCTGGAAATGTTCTGGAAATGTTTTCTCTTGGTTGAGAGAATGTTTTTCTTTGGGCAAATCTCCTTTGGCATTAAATAGTGTTTTACATTGTCTGGGGGCAAATCTCCTCTGGCAAGAAGTCCTAGAAAACTTAACAGTTAAAGCAATAAATCTCAGGGGCAGTAAAGTACATATCTTTTTAAAGATCTCTGTCATTAATACTTGAGGACACTTTGGCTTCAGTTGGCAAAGATTTTCCTCAGGGATATTTGGTGACACATGTGAAAGATTCAGATCTGTTGGGCAAATCTCCTTTGGCAAGATTCAGTTTTTTATGTGTTCTGGGCAACTTTCCTTTGGCAGTACAGCATCTAAAGCAAATTTATCTATTGTTGGGCAAATCTCCTTTGGCAGTACAGCATCTAAAGAAAATTTATCTATTGTTGGGCAAATCTCCTTTGGCATTTATTCTCTTGGTACTTCACTCCAATACCTACAGATACATCCTTCAACAACTAGTCCTTGTAGAAACTTGGCTTCTAGTGTTGGGCAAATCTCCTTTGGCAGTTAGACCTGGTGGAAACTTATCCCTGGTTGGAATATCTTCTTGAGCAATTGTCATTATAAAAATTTAAATCTATATCTTGGCTTGACTCCTATATCTATAGAAACATCCTTCAACAACTAGTCCTTGTGGAAACTTGGCTTTGATTGTTGGGCAAATCTCCTTTGGCAGTTCGACCTGGTGGAAACCTATCCTTGGTTGTTAGAAAATTTTTCTTGAGTAATTGTCATAGTGAACATTTAAATCTATGTGTTCGGCAAATCTCCTTTGGCACCTGGAATTTGTATAACAAGATTTTTATAAGTGTTCCATTGTTATCATCTTTGGTTAGCAGAAGTTGTTTGGAGAATCTTCATTGGCAGCTAATCCTCATAGAAATTTCTCTCTGGTTGCTGGGCAAATCTCCTTTGGCACCTGAAACTTGTATGTCAAGGTTTTCTTAAGTTTTCCAGTGTTAGCATCTTCGGTTTCTCCTGGACACTTCTTTGGCATCACTCTCCAGATTCAATCTCTCTATCCCACAAACAGATGATTTTGGTTGTCTAATCATTTGGTTGTCATCTTTAAAGAATTAAAGTTGAAGTACTAGTACTACTTCCCATTTGGTACCAAGTGACAACCACAGACTGCACCATTGCAATCAATATTAAGATCATTTCTGAAGGACTTGGATTCTTGTTTTGCTGCTTGAAATTGTTTGGCAGAGCCCCAAAGGTAACCTCTCTATTTCTTTAAACCATCTGAAGTACATTTTAGTACCTTAAAATTGCAGCAGATTTTATGTATTTGGTTAAAAGTTCTGTTTGATTTTGTTAGACTTCTCTACAGAAGTTAGTTATCTGGTTGCTCTTATTTCATTCACGCTATGTTTGGTTTGATAGAAAATAAGAGAAAAACAGAAAGTCGAGGGAAAGTCCTTAATGGACTTCTATCAAACCAAACACCACCTCAAGGAAAGAATCTTGTTTTTGAATTCTGAGTGAAGAATGCTAACAAAACATAGTTCTAGTTCCCACTATATAAACATGCATGTTACACATTATTTGATACTGAAATAATCTCTTTAAATACTTTCAGGCATCTGAAAGATGGATATACTCCTCAGTGGCTCAGATAGTGAAAGCTTAAGTGAGAGTAGTGGCAGTGAGGACCAAGATGACATTGAGTCTATGTATGGTGGGCAGGCTCAGAGCATTTTCTCAAGCCTGGAAAAGAGCATTGGGAAGATAGATGATTTTCTTGCATTTGGGAGAGGATTTTTACATGGGGATATTGTGTGCTTGATAACAGATCCATCTGGACAATTGGGAAGAGTGGTAGATATTGATATGGTTGTGGATTTGGAAACTATTTATGGTGAAATAATAAAAGATATAAACAGTAAAAAGCTTTTAAGGATCCGCACATTCTCACCAGGGGACTATGTAGTTCATGGGCCATGGCTTGGAAGAGTGAGGAGAGTAGTTGATTGTGTCACAATCCTGTTTGATGACGGGGCAAAATGTGAGTTAACTGCAGCTGATTCAGAAGCTCTCCTACCTATCTCTCCCTCTCCCAACATACTTGATGATGCACAATACCCTTATTATCCTGGTCAACGTGTCCATGTTAGACTGTCCACTGTTTTGAAGTCAGCGAAGTGGTTGTGTGGTGTATGGAAGGAAAACCGGTATGAGGGCACAGTGTGCCATGTTGAAGCAGGATTGGTTCATGTTGATTGGGTTGCCTCTGCAACTGTTGGTAGTAACTTGAATTTTCCTGCTCCTTCTTGTCATCAGTATTCAAAGGACCTAACCTTATTGTCTTGTTTTCCCTATGCTAATTGGCAACTGGGTGATTGGTGTATACTTCCAATTGATGATCACAGGGGCATTCAGGAGCAGGTTTTTCTTAACATTGCGACTCAAGGGTTTCTTAGCTGGAACAAAAAAATAGGACAACAACAAAGTGGTCTCTGTGTCCATTGTAAAGAGATATATGTTGTCGTGAAGACAAAAACAAAAGTTGACATCCTGTGGCAGGATGGTAGCCGCTCATTTGGCTTAGATTCACAGTCTTTATTCCCAGTAAACAGTGTTGGTGATCATGAATTTTGGCCTGAACAGCTTGTGCTTGAGAAGAGCACTAATGATGATTTACATGTTTCTAGTGGCCAAAGATTTGGGATTGTGAAAAGTGTGGATGCAAAGGAACGGACTGTTAAAGTGAAATGGAGAACTCAAATGGTGAATCAAACAGTTGACTTAGGCATAGATAACAATGAAGAGACTGTGAGTGCATATGAACTGATTGAGCATCCTGATTGCTCTTACTCACTTGGGGATGTTGTTTTCAGATTTCAAAAGAGCCATTGTATTGTTCAAGATGATGTCATTAAGGGCCATGATGATCAACTGAAAACCAATATGGAAAAGTATTCCTTCCAGCAGTTAGGAGAGAATCATCTTAAAAGTAAAGACATTAGTGAAGGTCAGGACCAGTACGCTAGTAACTGTTATCTATCCTGCATAGGAACTGTTACTGGATTTCAGAATGGCAGCATTGAGGTGAGGTGGGTCAATGGTCTCACGTCAAAGGTATGTGACTAGTTATCATTTTACAGTTGTATACTTTATGCATATTTTAGGCTGTATATTTTTCACATGATGCAAGATGATTAAGCCATTTGTGTTGTATTTCACATGAATTATAGATCAGCATAGTAGCATACTAAAAGCTGCTAGAACATTCTTGTAAATTTCTTTCTTCTTTTCAGAATGGATCTCATAAGCATGTAATACCTTGACCCAATAGGGAATTGACAGTTAGAGAGAACAGGTCTTTATAACAAAGTGGATATTAAATGTTCAGTTGTGCAAAGATATAGCTTATCGGTAATGGTCCCTTCAGTTGGATCTTGAGGCCCTTAAGATTTATGACAAAACCCTAGGGCTGATAGAATATGCCAATATGGTCTATGGTTAAGCAAGAGGGTTTGCAGGTTCCATCACAAACTCAGGGTGAAGATTCAGGTAAAGATTAGGGTTGATAGAAAGGGTTATGGGTGAGAATTGGTGGAATTTTTGTCCTGCTAAAATATGGGGAATGGTGATAGGAAAATCAAGAATATAGATTTTGATGGGTAAGATCTGCAATCTTGTCAAGGGCACATGTTGGGGCTTGTAACAAGACTCACTGCAAGGCCCAATTAGATACCTAAATCCCATCCAGTTACAGACCCAGCAGGGTTAAATAATGGATGATCCACCATCATTTTTCAGTTTCTTTTCAATTGGCTACACTCTTTCAACAATGTACTCTCAAATTCTCCCCACACTTGTTTGGTGAATCATATTTCTTCTAATATTAGCTCATATATTAGATCCTGGAATTTGGGTATAAGCTGGATTGATGTTTGGATATGAGAATGTGTATGGTTATTTGGATGCTGAGTCCTTGTGAATTTGACAGATTTAATTTGTTTCATGCTCTCTTGAGAGTGAATAAAACCTCCCTTCCAAATGATTTCCTTTCTCTTAATGATGTTGCCAAAGCATGTTTTGTTAATGCCACATTTGTCCAATATGTTTCCTTCCTTTTCTTTGCAAACTTATTTTTCAGTGGAAAAAGAACACATAAAGTAAAAGTTCCATTTTGTGTTATAGTTACCTGTTCAAGATTTATTTTTTATTCCATCAGGTTATGGTTTTTCACTTTTTCTTTTTCTTTGTCCTTGTCTTTTTCATCTTTTATTTTAATCAAATAAATTCAAGCCACAAAAAGTAGTTATTAGTAAGGAAATAAGCTCCATTTATTAATTGTTGAAGAATCAAAACAGGGGATCTTACATTATAATGAGCCTAGTTAGATCCAGTATTGGACTAAGACATAAATGAGACACTTGAAAATTTGTCCTTAGGAAGTCAATGTGATTCATAGTGATAATCTACAGATGGTGGACAACTAAGCCTTGCTAAAATTGTGGGGTGGAGGGGGGGGTCAGCAAACAGCAAATGCATCTAGAATCTATAAACAGATTCCTTCCTTTAGACCCTTAAAAGTAATTGTTAGAAATCAAATGTTTTACAAAAAAGCTAAGGATTTCTCAACACTGCTCATGGAAGGAACACTAATGAGAAAGTCTGGCAAGGAAGACAATTGGAAGTTGCTTCCACAGTTCCTTTAGATGCTACATGCACTTACCAGATCAGTATCTGAAGCAGGAGTCAATTATGCTTTCTTGGTGTGTTTTCTTTTAAGTCTTCTCTGTGCAGGAGTCGTGCCCATGTAAGACTTGTACCCATATTCAGTGGTCCAAACATAGATATGATCCAGGATAGACAGAAAAATTTTGTAATTTAATACAGGGCTGATCTTCACGAGATCCATGCTCTTAGAAGTATTTGATTTTGTATCAACAGTATTTGCATTATTAACTAAATTTGAAACAAATGAAATGAGGGTATCTTCATATTTATATGTGTTACCTTAAGCTTAGCCGGCAGGATTTTGATTGTACATTTAGAAATCAATTTGAAATCCAAACTTTCTACTGACTGTTTCTTTTGCTTTTTATGTATTTAAAAGGAACCTTGAATTGTGCATTAAGGATCTGGTAAATTATTCTGCTGTAAATTATTTTTAGGTTGGGCCTTATGAAATCATTGGAATTGAAAAATATGAAGAATCCGAATCAGATGCAAGTGATCCATATGAAGAAGATACTGAGGATAATTTGAGTCAAGAGATGTTGGACCATGGAAAGCAATCTTGGGAATTGAAAGAAAAGGTGAAGCCAGTAGAAACTCTCTCTAACTCATACACACACATGCACCAATATGTCCGGACTTGATAAATTGAAAAAAGGAACTATTTGTACAGGAGATGTCAGAGAAGGCATTCAGAGTTACTGATGAAGAATGCAAGAAAAACATATGGGAAAGTAGCACCTTTTTACTTCCACGAGCTGCTATTGGGTTTTTCTCAAATGTTGCAGCAAATTTATTTGGTTCTCGTGGTTCCACTTCACATTCAGGCTTGATGACATCTGGTGACTTTGGTGGTCTCAATGAAAATTATAAACCTGATCCTAACAAGTTACCTTTAGAAGATGTGGCAAAATCGGAATCTCTCTGTGAGAAAGAAGAGCTGAAACACTGCAGTTTGAACACTGAGGGATGCCCATCAATTGGAGATGAACTGCAAATGTTTAGAGAGATCAATTTGAAGCCACAAATAGAGGAGACTGAAGAGAACAAAGGACTAATTCTATCAGGCAGTGAGAAATTATTCAAGCAATTTGATATTGTTGATGATTGTAAAGATCACCATTTTGTTAATGGCTCTGGCAAAGAATTGATATTGTCTCAGGTCAGAAATGAAATTCCATCCTTAAATTAAATCAGTTATTATCTCATTCCACCACTATGGATAGTTATTTGTGTGCATTCTCTCCTCTATAGATGAAAAGAAGTTGGTTGAAGAAGGTACAGCAAGACTGGAGCATTCTGGAGAAAGATCTTCCTGGTCAGCACTTTTCCTTTTTTCTTATTTCAGTTTGTATTGGGATAAAGCATTGCATCAAGTGGTATTTACTTGTTCTAATAATGATTAATTTTCTGGATTACATTGTTCTGGTATGATGGATACACTGCTAAGTTCAGTTATACAGTAATTGATTGGTCGATATTCAAGTGATGTGTTATTTTGGTATTCTTGTTGCTTTTTTGAGCCAAAAACAATTGATGAAATTTCCAGATCCTTATCTTGTCATTATTTTTATATCTTTAAATACGTAAGATATTAATACAATGAGATACACCAAAGTAAAGTTTAATTCTTAAGAGTTTTGAATATGCGATCTCAGTATGCAACTATGTATGGAGAGAGCAGATAGTTGATGATTCCACAGGGAGAAAGAAAAAGGAAGGAGAGAATCTTCTATATAGCTAAATTCCTTGATTATTCTGCTTACTTATTTTGATCTATTATGAAATGCCAAATGAACCTTTATGATCATATTTGATAAGAGGATTGTGTCTGATGAAGGAATGAATAGACCGGGCACACTAGTGAAGCTCTATTACTGAACAAAAAGTAGGTTAAGATGTTTTCGTTGTCTTTATTTTTGCAAATGGGAGATCTTTGCTTAAAAAAGAAAAGGGCAACTAATCTGGTTCCATAGTTGTATGATAATTTACAGCAATCTATAAATAATGCTTTCATGTATAGTTATCATATTTTATTTTTATGATGGCAAGGATGTGTATACACACAAAATGATACTCCTAACTATGGTGAAAAATAAATTGTTGATCAAGTGAAAATAGCAGTGTAAATTAATGATTCTATATTCATAGTTTCATGCATGCGGAACTATGCACACACCAGGAACTGCTCACTATTTGGGGTTAAATCTTAATGATGACTGTGCTTATCAAATCTGTACAAGATTAAGTGTATGGAAATTGAAATTGCAATAAACAATAAAAGGGCAGCCCAGTGCATGTACGCATCCTTATCCCTGCACATACAGAGAAGCTGTTTCCAATATTTGAACCCTGATCACCCAGGCCACAAATTGCAATAAACAATATGAGGAAGCTATTCTGTGATCTGCCATGTCTAAGAATTGTAAGAGATTGAAAAAAGCTATTCTGTGGTCTTCCTTTTGTTTTAAAAATGATACTCTTTTTTTTTTACCTCAAGATACAATCTATGTTCGTGTTTATGAGGAAAGGATTGATCTTCTGAGAGCAGCCATTGTTGGGGCACCTGGAACTCCATATCATGACAACCTCTTCTTCTTTGATTTTTGCTTTCCTCCAGATTATCCTCATGAACCCCCTGTAAGTATGTTATTTAGTGTTTGCAGTTGTAACTTGCATACGATACTAAGCAATTAAGCATAGATGTATCTGTCTACATGTTTACATATGTATATGCGTCCATGTCAAATCTAACACAACGTATGCAGTTGGTTCACTACAATTCTGGTGGTCTCCGTCTCAACCCAAACCTCTATGAATCAGGAAGGGTCTGTCTCAGCCTCCTCAGGACATGGACAGGCACAGGCACAGAAGTATGGAATCCAGGGAGCTCCACCATTCTTCAAGTTCTTCTCTCCCTCCAGGCACTTGTGCTTAATGAGAAACCATACTTCAATGAGGCAGGATATGACAAGCAGATTGGAAGAGCCGAAGGAGAGAAAAATTCTATAACTTATAATGAAAATGCTTTCCTTCTCTCTTGCAAGTCCATGTTGTACCTGCTACAGAATCCACCCAAGGTATGATAAAGGACATCTTGGAATCCAAGATTGTTGCAACTCTTCTTGTCAAGTACCAGAGTACCATAAAGTTGAATGTGAGTTGCTTATTTATTTATTGCATACTAATGCAGCATTTTGAGGCCCTCGTGGAGGAGCACTTCCGCAATCATGCACACTCCATTCTCCTTGCTTGTAAGGCGTATATGGACGGCACTCCAGTTGGCTGTGCATTGGGACGTGGTATTACTGAGCAGGAACCAAAAAAATGCAGCTCAATGGGTTTTAAAATCATGCTTGCAAAGATCTTCCCTAAGCTTGTTGAGAGTTTTACAGATAAGGGAATCGATTGCAGCCAATTTATTGAGCCAGGGAATGAAGGTGTGGTAAACTAAGTATGTAAACATTAAGGTACTTGACCTATACATATCTAAGGATGTTAAAGGTTGTTAGTTCCACGTGCTTGTATGTGTGATTGTGTGAACTCAAGAAAAGGGGAAACTGGAGTTGTGTGTGCTTGATACAAAGATATTATCTCTATTTAAAAATACGGGTTTTCTGTTATATGTTACTATTGAGGTCTGTAGCATTTTTCAAGGTAAATAACCAGAAAAAAAAGACATTAAAATTTAGGTAACAACCGAATGGAAGTGCATGGCAAAGTGCAGCAGACAACATCTTCTGCAGTTGTTTGTGTTGCTCTTGTCTTGAACTTGCATTTAGTTTGCAATAGGTGTCCCATTACACTTGTGTAAATACCCATGCATGTGAAACCACACATGGAATGTTGGAAAAAATGGGGTCACTGTAACTTTGGAAGAGAAGCTCTAAGGCACGTCTGAAGACACTGTCTTTAGAATGTTATTTGTTCCCACTCAATTTCACTGAGTTTGCTGTTGGGTTACAGGCAAATCCATTCTCACGATATAACAAAGCATTGGGCGAGAATCTGCAATCAACAAAGTTGAAGAATTTCCGAAAAAACCTTCTGTGAGATTGTAGTAGATCGGACAGAGAGAGAGAGAGAGAAAGTGGATTTCGAAAATTGTGTGTTTTTGAAGTCTGATTCATGCTCCTTAAATAGTTTATGAAGAGGTATGAAAAAAAGGTAGGTGCTGGTGCACACGAAGTATGAGCAAATTACGCTTCTAAAGCGCCTCATTGCGTCGCACACACGCGTGCACGCGCATTGCGCGGTATCAAACCGCCATACTCTCCTCTACTATTTCTAAGGAGTGTAAATCAGTTTCTATTAAAATACTAAAAACAAAACTTATAATTTTTCAATGTGGGACAAGTTCAAAACTAGGTTTTGTAAGAGAAAAGCTAATTTTTCAATCAAGTGTGCAGGTGTAATTTCTCATGCAATTGATCAATCAAACCCATTGGATTTAATCTCTTATGAGATTAAAATCCAACTATCCCTCACATTGATTGATCAATTACATAGTTCTCTCTCAATCCAAACTACTATGACACAGTTATGCATACAAAAGGTGTTTATCAACTTAAACATTTTGTTAGTATAGATATCTCAGAGCCTTGTCAAAGTTATTGGTGGTAAGACCTTAAACCAATTACTCTCAAGATAGACCGGAGACACCTATATACACAATAACGTCCAGTCTCTGCAAGAGTTTCAAGTTTTGCTCAACATTGTTATGGCCATGTGCTTCTTTCTTGGTTTCATGAACAATCCCGAGAGCATACCCAAATTCTCATGAGAAGCGACACCACTTCTATGTTCACATAGGTGAAGTTCCACTATGTGTTCCGTTATTTGACACATTTCAAAACTTCATTAAGAGTTTAACTCAACCTTTCATCGTAATGGACAACACTGTTTATGTTGTGATGGGAAATTTCTCAATGTCAATGGTAACAATCACATTGTTGTAACTTGTTGTTAGGGGTGTTCACGGGTCGGTTCGGGTCGGTTTCTTGGGATTTTCCCAACCGACCCGACCTAGTCGGGTTAGCTAAGGTGGGAACCGAAACCGATCCACTGACAGGCCAAACCAACCAGGTCGGTTTGAGTCGGGTTGGGTCGGTTTTGGTCGGTTTGGTCGATTTTGCTCCTGTATGTATAAAGCCAAATAAAATCTGATTTATTTGATAATTTGAATATTTGATATTCAAGAGTCCAAAGTAAATCTAAATTTAATTCAGGTAAAGAATAAAAAATTCGAAACCTTCTAAATTCTAAATTTCTAATCTAGGTAAAAAACTAAAAAATGACACCTAATTGATTTCTAATTGTAATTGCCTAATGGGCCTTCTAGAGTTCTAATTCTATTAGAAGTCTAAAAGTAGAAGATTAGTGGGAATTAGGAAACTACTCAAACTAGGAAGTAGGAACTACCAAACTAGTAGATCTCTAGGTCGGTTCGGGTCGAGTCGGATTCGGTTTTCACGCAAGAAAACCAAAACCGACCCAATATGTCAGTTTTGTTTTGTGCCCAACCCGAAACCAACCGGTACGGATGCAAACCCGGACGACTCGGGTTGGGTCGGTCCGGGTTGGTCGGTTTGGTCGGTTTGGTCGGGTTGGGCATTCTTATGAACAGCCCTACTTGTTGTTACCCATTAAACCCAATACTGATGGTTTTTCAGTTCAGGTTGGGTTACCATTACAGGTGACTAAGTAAAGGGTTTTAATCTCATTTCTTTGGTTGTCATTCTTACAAATTCTCTGGCCAAGCCCTTGGTAAGAAGATCAGCCAAGTTTTTACTTGACTTCACATAGGTTATAGTGATGACTCCATTTTGAATCAGTTGCCTAACAAATTCATATCTCAGACTTATATGTCTGGACTTACCATTGTAGGTACCACTGTAGGCTCTTGACAGAGTTGTCTCACTATCACACTAAATGGAAATTGGAGGCATAGGACTAGGCTAAAGTTTTATATCCAATAATAAATTCCTAATCCATTCAGCCTCTTTTCCAGCAGCCGCTAAGGCTATGAATTCGGATTCCATGGTCGAGTGAGATATATAAGTTTGTCTCTTGGATGCTCAAGAGATCGCACCCCCACCAAGGACAAAAATCCATCCAGAGGTGGACTTGTTATCTCCATTACCGGAAATCCAACTTGCAACAGTGTACCCTTCTAATTCAGCTAGATAATCACAATAAAACAAGCCAAGTTCCAAGGTTCTCTTGAGATACCCAAGAACTCTCCCAATTGCCTTCCARTGCTCTGCACCGGGATTACTTGTAAACCGACTGAGTTTACTTACTGCAAATGCAATATCAGGTCTGGTACAAAGCATAGCATACATCAAGCTTCCTACTACACTAATATACTCAAGTTGTGCAATTGCTCTATTAGTATTTTTTACTAATTTTATACTAGAATCATATGGCGTGCTATATTCTTTAAACCCTAAATGCTTAAATTTCTCAAGTACTTTCTCAATATAATGTGATTGGCTTAATGCATAGCTCCGACTATGCTTTTTAACTTTTATTCCCAAGATGGTATCTACTTCTCTTAAATCTTTCATCTTGAAGACAGAGGATAAGTAGATTTTAGTTTCATTTATGCCAATCATATTTGTACCCACAATAAGCATATCATCAACATAAAGACATACAATTACTCCATAATTTTCAGTGAATTTTGAGTAGATGCATTTATTAACACTATTATGTTTAAAACCAAAAGCTATGATGCAAGAATCAAATTTCTCATGCCACTGTTTAGGTGCTTGTTTTAATCCATATAGTGATTTAACCAGTTTACAGAATTTCTTCTCATTTCCAAGAAGAACAAATCCTTCTGGTTGTTCCATATGAACCTCTTCATTTAAATCACCATTTAAGAAAGCAATTTTAACATCCATTTGGTGAACAGATAAGTGATAAATGGATGCTAATGCTATGAGTGTTCTAATAGAAGCTGTTTTAGCCACCGGTGCATAGGTGTCAAAGTAATCAATCTCTTCCTTTTGACTAAATCCTTTGGCTACCATTCTAGCCTTAAAAGTTTGTACAGTTCCATCAATGTTGTATTTTTTTCTAAATACCCATTTACATTTTATTGGTTTTGATCCTGGAGGCAGGTCTACTAGTACCCATGTGTTATTTGACATTATTGAATCAATTTCATCATTTATAGCTTCCTTCCAAAAGGCAGCATCTCTAGAGGTCATGRCYTCACTRTAGRTTTTTGGATCATTTTCAATGTTTAGGACAATAGGTATCTTATTTAAAATCTTCTCTCTATTAGCCTCAACCAAAAATACAATTGACTGAGTAGAGATAAAATCTAAACCTAAGTGTTTCTCTATTCTTTRTCTTTGACTTCTTCTAGGTCCTATTGTAGGTATTACAGTTGTGTCATTTCTTCTTTCAGTCTCATTATTTTCAACATGTATTGAGATATGAGTTTCTCTTTCAGGTTCTCTATCATTTTCTGTGGATTCATTTTCTGTAGATTCAGAACACAGTTTATTTTCAAAGAATTCAACATCTCTAGTTTTAATTATTATGTTGAACTCTAAGTCTAGAAGCCTATAGACCTTGCTATGTTCTGCACATCCAACAAACATACTTCTCTTAGCTCTGAGTCCTAATTTGGTTCTTTTAGGATCTAGAACTCTATAATATGCTAAGCACCTCCACACTTTTAGATATGTTAAATTAGGTTTTCTTCCTATCCATAATTCATATGGGCATTTGTTATTAATTCTAGAAACAATTATGTTATATAAATGACAGACTGTTAAGAGTGCTTCCCCCCACAGGTTTAAGGGTGCATTAGCTTTTAACATGCAGTTTATCATTTCTATAAGTGTTCTATTTTTCCTTTCGGCCAGGCCATTCTGTTGAGGGGTATAGGGAGCAGAACACTGATGTATTATTYCAAATTCTTCACAGAAAGAATTAAACTCATTTTTAAAGTATTCAACACCCCTATCACTTCTAAGGATTTTAATTTTCTTTTCTAGTTGATTTTCAACTTCAGTCTTATACAGTTTAACCATGTCAAAGGCTTCATCCTTAGTTATCATAAGGTAGACATAGGTGTACCTAGAAAAGTCRTCTATAAATGTTATGAAGTATCTCTTACCTCATCTAGTTAATACACCATTGAGTTCACAGATGTCAGAATGAATTAGTTCTAGGAGTTGAGAATTTCTCTCAACACTAGGGAAATGTTTCTTAGCCATTTTAGATTTTAAACATATCTCACATTTTTCAGTTGATTCATTATCGTAAGCAATTATACCAAGTTTGCTCATGTTCTTTATGAAATTAAAATTCAAGTATGCTAATCTATCATGCCATAAAGAGAAATGATCAATAATATAAGCAGAAACTTTTCCTTCATTAATACTTAGTTTGAACATACCATTACAACCATATCCATTTCCAACAAACATCACATTATTGGATAGGATTAGTTTGTCGGATTCAAAGACAACTCCGAATCCCCTCTTACAGACAAGATTTACTGAGACCAAGTTCTTTCTAATGTCAGGAACATGGAGAACATTCAGGAGAGTCAATGTCTTTCTGGATGTGAAGTTCAACTCTACACTGCCTCTTCCAGCAACT